AGTTTATTGGTATATTTTACAGGCTTTAGGTTACGATCGGATATATAGTTGTGTACAGTGTTTATGGTTAGCGAAGTCGTTATATGTAATGTATAGGTCATGGACAGCGGAGTGTTTGGTATCAATTTACAGCGTATGTTAAGTGTGAGGTAAATACGAATAAGACGTTAGAATAGTTATCGGCAATTGTGGTCAGAGTCGGGAAATACATGGTTTGGTTTGTACGCGGAAATAGTGGTAAAAACTGGTCGACGAGTGCATTGAATGCAATGTTTGAGCAAAGGATTAGGTTTGCGATAAGAGTGTCGAGGATTAGAAACGAGGGCAAAGGTTTACATTGAAATTTGGATATGAAATGAGTTAAACAATGGTAAGTATAGGAAAAGTGGTTGTCTTATTGATATTCCTCTGGATGTGCTGGAGCTGAAGACGTTTTCCCTCAGAAAATTCATGTTTCAATTCAACGCAAAAAAGATTAATTCAAAAATATTTTTCTTTATTTTTCTTTAAATGACTTTTTTTTTGCATTTTTAACTACGGTAATAAATTTTTTATAAAATGTATATCATCATGTTATGTCTATTTAATGTAGTATTAATTTTTCTTGGAATTAAAACTAGTTATACAATAATATTAAAATGTTGTCCAAATGAATATACAATAATTATTGATACTGTATTATTTATTTCTTACGAAATAACCTAGCTCAAATACATATTGTCTAAATTAATTCTATAGACACTTTAATAATTTGATCTAGTTATTGTCAATTATGTAATCGATAAATACAATATATATTTGAATGCATAATAATAATTTATACATTATATTACCGTATATGCTTTTATAATTTGTCCCTAAATTAATTACTATTTAATTTTTATTTTATTTTATTTAAAACACCATAATTTTCTTAGCGTTTACACTAATAATGGTATAATTTTATTGTTATATTGATTACTGTATATTATAATCAATATAAATAACTTAATGAAAAACCTAAAACTTTATCAAAAGACAATTATCTCAAGTAATCGTGTTTTAGGTAAGAAATGTTAAATCAGATAAATTTTATTATACTGTCCATATTTAATTACGTATATAATAATGGTTCACAATTACATTGGGTTTGTATAAACTGATTACTGTTGAACCAATTCTGGGAAAATAACATAACATTAGTACTATTAATCTTTAAAAACATTACCTTGATATTACATTAGTTTACCACATTAATCCACATTATTAACTTGATAAGATTAGCTAGGGTATATTATTGCCATTATATTGTCACATAAGTGAGGCATACATCGCATGTACACCAATCATAATAACAAACACTTCGACAACTCTTTGAAACGATAATATTGATCAGAAAATTGTTTGACGTATTGAATCGAAAGTGCTTTGTATTACAATATTTCACAATTTTAAATATAATTTCAAAACAACTATAATTTTTTGTAATTAGTTAGGAGAATCTTTGATGATAACAATCATAGCATTATGATAATAAATTAATATAAAACTAGATGCACAATTCTAAATTTTACCATTCATAACAAACATTTCCAAAATGATTGTTTTAACGTTAATAACAATACTTTTAAATGCATTCATTGTTTTGGCAGTGAATGAAGACGAGATAACATCACTGCCGGGTCTCTCGGATGCCATAAAATTCAAACAATATTCCGGTTATTTGAATGCATCGAAAGGAAGACATCATTTCTATTGGTTTGTTGAGAGCGAATCCGACCCCCAAAACGCACCGGTAGTGCTGTGGCTGACGGGAGGGCCCGGATGTAGCTCTATATTCGGGATGATTACCGAAAACGGACCCTTTCGGGCCAATGAAGACGGAAAGACACTATCGCTGCACGACTTCAGGTGGAATAGTGTGGCAAATATGGTATACATGGAGTCTCCCGTTTCCACTGGTTTTAGTTACGACGAGACGACTGACAAACCCTATAACAACGACGAGACCACCGCTTATGACAACTACTTAGCACTCGAGAGCTTTTTCGCAAAATACCCGCATTTGAAGAAAAATCCATTTTATATAACGGGTGAGAGTTATGGCGGCGTTTATGTGCCGATGTTAGCCCACGAACTATTCAAACAAAATTCAACCATCAATTTAAAGGGTAATTATTTCCTAATACTATATCTTTGTAAAACTATTTTAAAACTGTAATTCATTGAACAATAGGTTTGTCTGTTGGCAATGGATTACTCGGTGGATGGCGTGATGGCCAGTCGATAGTCGACTTTCTCTTAGGACACGGATTAGTGACCACCGATTGGTACGCAAAGAAAATAGAGGCCTGTTGTGAGTGTACGGCCGGTATTCAACACGAGTGTGACTTTGATAAAGCCCCCAATAAAACGTAAGCTATTCACATTTGTATAACTAAAATAGTTTAATATTTTATTTCATTATATCATTTAAATGATTAGTAAATGTGAATCCATTCCTATGGCTATGATGTCAACTCCTAATCCATACAATATTTACGACGAGTGTGTGCCTGATCTGGACGTCCAAAACCTGTTCAATACATACCATAAGCAACAGTTCGAGAAGATTGGCGTCAAATTTTCAATCAGTGATGGATTCAAACAAAACGCTAAACCCAAGTGCCCAAAGAATGGTCACACGCCTTACCTCAACGACCCGGCCGTACAAAAGGCACTGCACATAAGGGAAGGTGGAGTGCGTTGGGGCGCCTGTCGAGGCATTTACGATCGGACGCACGGATATACATCCCAAGAGAAGATTGCTTTCGATTTGATCCATACGTACAAAATCGGTCGTTTTGTCGTATATAACGGCGACACCGACACCACGTGTGACTTTATATCAGACCAACGCTTTATAGACGGCGTCGCCGTTTCAACGCAAAGCAAAAAACTTGAAAATTATCGGTTATTTATCAACACATAACATGTCTATAAGTATTAATTTGTTTTGTTTTTGAATTATTACCAGAATTTGGAGAGAAGACGGAAAACCCGACGGAAGAATTGGTGGTTTTGTTCAGCACTACGAGAATGGGCTGAGCTTTGTGTTAGCCCGCGGGGCCGGACATATGGTGCCCGAAGATAAGCCCGAAGCAGGGCTTCAGATATTTAAGCATTTGCTCGGATTGGCTAAACTATAATTATATTATATTAAAGATTTGTTAATATTGTAAGAATTAGTGACACGATTGCAATCATTAAATATCTAATTTAAAATTATTTATTATGGCTTCCAAATGTTGTTCAAAAGTTACCGACAATAACTTATTTATAAATTAAAATATTTTAATTATTTAATGTTGTAATCATTTTGCAAAATACATAAATAAAAATAATTAAAGTCTACAAAAGTTTTGCTTGAGTAAAAATTAGAAACATTTGAATAAATATTAACACAAAAATTTTTTTAATTAATTCTGTCAACACATAAATCAAGCGACTTTGTACTTATTATATTATGTGTACTGATATGAATTTAATCACAATTATAAAGCATGTGCAATTTTGTTAACTTTAAATCTATTTTGGAATTATATTAAGCTGTAATAAGTGTCCGATAATTGTTACTAAATTATTACATTAAAATGCAACATCATATTATTGGATGACAGCAGATGAATCATCTGAGATAATCTATAGAAACAAATATGTTTACCTTGATACACTATCAATTTAAGAATTAGTGTACTAAAAGTGTTTTAAGGTAATATTATTGCATTGTCACACCTATCCAACACATCGATCACATTTACAAACATCTCGAGACCCCTTTGAAGTTTAAGAATAATTGATTAGATAATGAACTGGATTATGGGATTTAAATGCTTAGCAGTGCACTACTTAACTATTTTATACACTTTTCAAAACTTCATTTTCATCAATACTAAGAAGTCTGCGGGGAATGAGTTGTTTTTGAAAGTTTGATAATGAATTAAAATAAAACCCGATTCACAATTGAAAGTTTTACTGTTATTAGGAAATATTCAACATGAACGTTTTAACTTTGTTAACATTATTTCTAAATGTATTGATTGCTTTGGCAGTCAATGAAGACGAGATAACATCACTGCCGGGTCTCTCGGATGCCATAAAATTCAAACAATATTCCGGTTATTTGAATGCATCGAAAGGAAGACATCATTTCTATTGGTTTGTTGAGAGCGAATCCGACCCCCNTGAATGCATCGAAAGGAAGACATCATTTCTATTGGTTTGTTGAGAGCGAATCCGACCCCCAAAACGCACCGGTAGTGCTATGGCTGACGGGAGGGCCCGGATGTAGCTCTATATTCGGGATGATTACAGAGAACGGACCCTTTCGGGCCAATGAAGACGGAAAGACACTATCGCTGCACGACTTCGCGGCCAATAAAGTAGCGAATATGGTATACATGGAGTCTCCCGTTTCCACTGGTTTTAGTTATGACGAGAATACCCGTCAGCCGCGCAACGACGACGTGACCACCGCTAACGACAACTACTTAGCCCTCGAAAGCTTTTTTGTAAAGTATCCGCATTTGAAGAAAAATCCGTTTTACATAACGGGTGAGAGTTATGCCGGCGTTTATATACCAATGTTAGCGCACGAAATATTCAAACATAACTCAACCATCAATTTGAAGGGTATATTTTGATAATGTTATTATTAAAACAATTTATAATTAACTCGATCTAATATCTTAGGTCTATCTATTGGCAACGGATTAATTAATGGAGGCGATGATTCACAATCGTCGTTAGACTTTGCTTTAGGACACGGATTAATTACCACCGAGTATTACGAGAAGAAGATAGAGGCCTGTTGTGAGTGCAAGGCTGGCGTTCAACACGAGTGTGATTTTAGTAAAGCTCCAAATAGAACGTAAGTTACCATGAGCGTTTAGAGCCGTATTTATTGAAATTAATATTGATTTCAAACATTTAATTTGATTGAATAGCAAATGCCAATCCGTTGAAGGCTCTGAGGTCTCCACTCCTAATCCATACAATATATACGACGAGTGTTTCCCGGATCTAGACTTACAAAAGGTCTTCAATGCATACTCTAAGCATCATTTTGAAAAGATTGGACTCAAATTCGCGATTAACGATGGATTCAAATACAACGCTAAACCCAAGTGTCCAGTGAATGGTCACACGCCTTACCTCAACGACCCGGCCGTACAAAAGGCACTGCACGTAAGGGAAGGTGAGGTGCATTGGGGCGCCTGTGATGGCAATTACGATCGCTCACACGGATACACCTCTCAGGTAGAGACCACCATTGAGTTGATCCAAAAGTACAAAATCGGTCGTTTTGTCGTATATAACGGCGACTTTGATATAATGTGTGACTTTGTAACCGACCAGCGCTTTGTCGATGGGATAGCTGTCTCGACCCAAAGCAAAAAACTTGGAAGATATCAGTCAGTAGTTAAACACATATAACTTTGTATTGAGTTTTAATTTGTATTTTTATTTGTTAATAACCAGTGAATGGAGCGAAGATGGTCTGGTCGGCGGACGCATCGGTGGTTTTGTTCAGCACTACGAGAATGGCCTGAGCTTTGTGTTAGCCCGCGGGGCCGGACATATGGTGCCCGAAGATAAACCCGAAGCGGGGCTTCAGATATTGAAGGATTTGGTCGGTCTGACCAAACTATAATTGCATTATTTTTTATTAAATTTTTAATTAATTAATGTTATTTATTTATCAAAATTGTGCATAAATTTAGAAATTAAATAACAAATTATAAAAACATTTTAATTAATAAATACTGAAATTCTTATTGTATCACATAATAAATCTAAAATATAAGCCAATTTTTTACCACAATTCAGACATGAACAATATGGTTCATATGATCTTTTATTAATTTCAACCCACTCAAACTTGATCGTGCATATTTTTATTACCATGCACATTATGAGCATAATGGTATTCAAATGTCCAGTAGTATATGTCCGATAATTATGACAAATGTTTTTCATAATTGCATGTCATGTATTGCAAGTGATCTTAGGAAACCTTGATTTTGATATTATCCATAATCAATTTAATAATTTATGTACAATAGTACAGTACTCTCTACAATTTGCACCTTGGACACAATACAATCAATACTATTTATTTATTGCAATTATTATTATTACTATTTAATATATTGTCACACATTTATGAGTCCTTTGCGTACACATCAATCACAATAAAACACAACTCGAGACCCCTTTAAAGAATAAAAATAATTGATTAGATTATTGTTTGGATTATTGGATTAAAACTCATTAATTATCAGATTTTATACATTTTCAACACTTCATTTTACTCAACACTAAAATTGTTTAGAGTATTGAGATAATGCATTAAAATAAAATCTAAATCACAGTTGGAAGTTTTATTATTGTAAAGAAATATTCAACATGAATGTTTTAACTTTGTTAACATTATTTCTAAATGCATTCATTGCTTTGGCAGTCAATGAGGACGAGATAACATCACTGCCGGGTCTCTCGGATGCCATAAAATTCAAACAATATTCCGGTTATTTGAATGCATCGAAAGGCAGACATCATTTCTATTGGTTTGTTGAGAGCGAATCCGACCCCCAAAACGCACCGGTAGTGCTATGGCTGACGGGAGGGCCCGGATGTAGCTCTATATTCGGGATGATTACAGAGAACGGACCCTTTCGGGCCAATGAAGACGGAAAGACACTATCACTCCATGACTTCGCTGCCAATAAAGTGGCGAATATGGTATACATGGAGTCTCCCGTTTCCACTGGTTTTAGTTATGACGAGAATACCCGGAGTCCTCACAACAACGACGAGACCACCGCTAACGACAACTACTTAGCCCTCGAGAGCTTTTTTGTAAAGTATCCGCATTTGAAGAAAAATCCGTTTTATATAACGGGCGAGAGTTATGCCGGCGTTTATATACCAATGTTAGCGCACGAAATATTCAAACGAAACTCAACCATCAATTTTAAAGGTAAATTTAAATGCATAAAAGGTTATGATTAAAATCTATAATTAACACTATCTCATACACAGGTGTTGCGGTTGGTAACGGAGCACTTAATGCAGGCCATGATTCCCAATCTTCGTTAGACTTTGCTTTAGGACACGGATTAGTGACCACCGATTGGTACGCGAAGAAGATAGAGGCCTGTTGTGAGTGTACGGCCGGTATTCAACACGAGTGTGACTTTAGTAAAGCCCCCAATAAATCGTATGTTTAAATTTTAATGAACACTAAATCATGTATTGATCCACATTTAAATGCACAGCAAATGTGATTCCGTTCCTAACGTCAGAGTCTCGACTCCTAATCCATACAATATATACGACGAGTGTTTCCCGGATCTGAATTTACAAGAGGTGTTCAATACATATCATAAGCAACACTTTGAGAAGATTGGTCTCAAATTTTCAATCAGTGATGAATTTAAGCAAAACGCTAAGCCCAAGTGTCCAAAGAATGGTCACACGCCTTACCTCAACGACCCGGCCGTTCAAAAAGCACTACATGTAAGAGAAGGGTCTGCGCGTTGGGGCGCATGCAATGGGATGGGGCACTACCAGAAGGGGGCCGACATCTCTCAGGTGAAGACTACCATAGAGTTGATCCATAAGTACAAAATCGGACGTTTTGTCGTATATAACGGTGACTTTGATATTGTGTGTGACTTTGTAACCGACCAACGCTTTGTCGACGGAATCGCTGTCTCAACACAAAGCAAAAAACTTGGAAGTTATCGGTCTGTTGTCAACACACTTACCATTCTTGCTATTTGTGTTAATTTGATTTATTTATACTTATTTATAGCATATGGACTGAAGACGGAAAGCCCGACGGAAGGATCGGTGGTTTTGTTCAGCACTACGAGAATGGCCTGAGCTTTGTGTTGGCCCGCGATGCCGGACATATGGTGCCCGAAGATAAGCCCGAAGCGGGGCTTCAGATATTGAAGGATTTGATTGGCATTTCTAAGCTATAATTGTATTAATGATAATAATTAAGTTGTAATCTAATGTGTTATTTATTTGCCAAACTTGTGTTGAAATGTTATGAATTAAGTAACAACTTATAAAAATGATTTTAACAATAAATATTGAGATAAAACTGATGTCACATTTGTACAGAATCTACTGTATTACTATTGTTTATCAATAAACTTTAAAACATGGATTATATTTTTATTTAGAATTAAAATTATTTATACATTACCATTTTTATTACAGAATGCAAAATAGGTATAAAAATATTAAAACTAAAAAGTTAAGTTAAAATTATAAAATTAACTAAAAAATTTGGCCTGAATTTGAATACTAAACAAATAGTATAATCGATCTAATTCTGAGACAAACATCTTTAGATTACGGCAACTGTCGGCTGATTCTGTGAGATCGCGGGCACACGACTCCCCTTCTGTATACAAATCCCCGTATAATTCAGAAATCTATTCAAAATGCATTAAATAAATCAAAAAATAATTAAAAAAACACATTATTAACAAAATATAAACAACACTCACTTCGCCGATAATATCGGACATAACATTATTCCTGAGTTTAGCGCCAAACTGTCCTAACCTGAGACCCGTTTGCAAAAGCATTAGTTTGGGCTTAAAGTTAAGAAAATTGAGAGCATAGGGCAGTCTCTCCATCGCCGAGCACTCGGCCTCTTTGACCGTCTCATTGAAGTGTAGGGCCCGCCAGTCCTCATCGCATCGCATCACTTCAGTTATGACAGCAATCGCTTTGATAGCGCCGGACATCTCCTCCCGCGACTCCGCGGCGCTCAGTCTCTTCTCCTCCTGAGATCCCTTGAAAATATCGGCCAAACCTTTGGTGTATTTATCGTAGAACTGCTTATAACAGATGAGTCCACTCTTGTGGGCAATCGCCGCCCGTCTCGTAACCATTTGTTCCCCGATTTCAAAGTTTTGTTGACTTAAATCAAAGAGTTCTCTATCCGACAGTCCTGTTAATCCGTTCGTACCCTTTGTTATGCATTCAATGTCTGCACTTCTGTCGCAAACAACTAAATGTAAGAAAATTAGTTTTTAGATCAATATTTTGACGCTTCTATTGAAAAACATACCGAAAGTGAATGCAAACGAAAAGAATATTAAATAACTTAATAAATTCATTATTAAATTTTTTTTTGTTGAGAAAATACTTATTTGTGATATTAGTGAATACAAATTGATGTGCTTTTTATGCAATCTTAAAACTCAATTAAATTCATTTATACATGTTTTAAATTCCAATGAATAAACTTTTCAGAAAAAAATTTAAAAGAAATTTGTGTGAAATAAATAATTATACACTTTTTTAAAACAAAATTTCCTTATAAAATGTCCTTCATTTTTGAAATCAATTCAAACGATTAAAACAATTAAAATTTATTGTGAATCCAACAAAAGGCACACATTTCAAAGCGATAATAATTGTGATAATTATATTAATGGTTTATATAGAGACAAAATAATATTTGTGTTTTACATTTTATAGATTTAAATAGATTTTAAAAATCGCATTACAAATCAAGAGTAAACTTATCTTTAATAAAAACATATTTATGGGAACAACAGACTTGAGGTCAAAAATAAATCATTATATTTCACTCGATTCACAATTGATCTTAATTTCGGACATTTCTTAATAATTGTGTTGAAATCTGATTGTCTGAAGTCTTGACGGTAAGAACACACAGACAATGATTGAAGTGATGGCAGTTTTGAGAAACATTTCAGACATTTAATGTCGATATTGCTATTACACTCAATTTCTAGTACCTGTAGTATTGGTTGTGTGGACACAATCTGTGTTATAATTTCAATCGGCAGACCATAACAGATCCAGAGGTGTGTCAAATGTGGCCAACCATTCAATGGCTTTAATTCGGTCCAATCGGTAACACTATTCTCTCCTTTCACTTTAAGCCTTAAACTCAATCGTTTTAATTGTGACATAAATTGGATTGAATTCATTATGTCTGCAATTATTGCCGGAGTTAATGCCAGAGTTAATGCCGAACCATAATTCAATGAAAACTTTTTGAGTTTTGCACACTTTAAACCAATTTTCTTCAGATTATCGTATAGTGAATAGTGAAGAGGAAAATAATTACCAAATAATATGAATAATGTCTTCAATTCTGTAAATTCGGACAATTGTGCCAAGAATTGAGTCAACTTTGTTTCCGAGTTTTCCGTTGTTATATAAATCTGAATGTTTAATGTTGTGAGTCGTGAGCCATAGAATGCGATAAATTGAGCATATTTTTGTGGATTGTATTCCTCTTCTTTCCAAATAAAACAAATCTCTTTCAACCGATTGAATGACAATAAGTGGTTGTCTTCGATGGCAAACATTAACTCCAATTCCCACGTCGAGAGACTACACACTCGTTAGAAATGTTGTTCATAAGGAAACGCAATCTTTTCGGTGATCGCAATATTGGTAACCATTGAACCGAATGGAGACAACAGTTGATAAGCATGTGGTCTAAAGAAGTGGTCATAAAACTGAACGCATTGGAGACGCGGCAACGCATACATGGCTTCTAATACTTGTGCCGTATCTCCAATCGATTCACTCAACCAATAAAAATCTCGTATGCGTTCAATGTTTGGGTATTTGTCGGCAATAAAAGCAATAACTTTGCGAAACACCTCAACAGCCCATTCATCCATACATTCTTTGAGTGCCATTTTGCGCATCACTGACCACTCGATTTCAATCTCAGAGACGGTGTCATAAATGTATCGCTGGAATTGCTTTGACACGCATTCGTGTCGGGATCTGCTCTCAAATGTGAAATACTCGGACGAATGAGATAACAAAAGTCGGGCCAAATCGTCGCCGAAGCGGTCGAAGGAATCTTTGGCGCACATTTGAGTCTATATTTAACGGACAATACACTTAACTAATTGCTATAAACATATATCTTATTGATCACTAAAATTAACTGATCTTTTGAATGACTGCAAAGTGTGAACACATTTGAATAAATGGTGATATAAAGTGAAACAATGTGTGAATTGAGTCCTTTTATCACAACGAAAGTTGTTATCAATGATAACTTATCAATCATTCAATACTGGATTTATAGCAGTTTTGATTAAAACATTTTAAAACTTTCCAAAAGAGGCTTAAGTTTAACATTACGTCCCATCAAAACCATTGACATGAATGTAAACCACAATCTCTATACTGTTGTCAATTGAATTCAATGCAATGGTTTTGATTGAAACTAATGAATAAATTATTTTTATCAACTTGTAATGTGTTTGTGGTTTTGTTTTGAATCATGGTAAATGCTATGATTGACACATGCGAGTTATAATCAATAATTTAGAACTTTATAAAACAATTGGTGATCAAAATGGGGGCCAAAAGTTGTTGACAACAAACAAATGGTAACGTAATGTATGAACGAGTGATTGATTTCAATCAACGCAGCAATGATTGAGTCATTGATTGCATAAACAAAACACCAAAACATCACAACAATTGAGTCCACACTTTGACACCAATCAACACAACCACTGGTGAAGACAATACACACCACACGAGACAACTGATCCCAACTCGAGAGACGACCGCTTGAATCGATGGCCACTTTGAACGCCAGTCATCACGAGTCGGGAGGAGTAGTGCTGTTCAGCGGCGAACTCATACTCTTGTACTCCGATAACGTGAACATCACTTTAGAGACCAAATCACAGAACGTAATGACAATTATCATCACATTTACCACTCATTATCACTGAAAAACACTAACCATTTGATTGTCTTTCTCTCCCACTCTTGTAGTCCAACGGAAGGCTATATCTGACGACACATCGCATTGTATTCACGTCTCAACCGATTCATAAGAACCCGAGTCTGAAGTCATTTTCGGCGCCTTTCTATGCGATGAGTGACCTCTCGCTCGAACAGCCCGTCTTCGGCGCCAACTTTATCGCCGGTAAAGTGCGGCCCGACTCACAGCCCGACGCACCCAATGGTTGGGTGTTTAAGTTGCGCTTCAGTCACGGCGGGGCCATCGAGTTTGGACAGGCGTTGGACAACGCGGCCAAATCGGCCACTCGTAACGCCCACAATATGCACTTCCAGCCCCCGCCTCCCTATACGGCCGCCGCCGGACAGTACTATCAGGTATTGTACTCGTCGTGTAAACCATTGCTCACCACAATTGACACTAACTGTGATGTATCGCACGGATAGGCGCCGCCCAACATCTATCAGCCCGCCTACAACTGCGGCTTCGCTTTGCCTACTCAGGTCTTCTCGACGCCCCCACCGGCGGGTTTCATATACACAATGGAGGCGCCGCCGCCCTATCCCGGCCTCAACACAACGGCCCAACAGTATGGCGCTCCGCAATACCAACAAATGGCGTATATGGCGTACGGACAGCAGCCCTTTGTGGCCAACGGCAACGCAAACTACGGCCCGTACGAGAACGGCGGCGGAGCGACGGCACCCCCACCGCCACCGCCCGTCGGCTTCTCATTCAACGAGAAGCCGCCCACTTATGACGAGGCGACCAAAAAGACTCAGTAAAACGTTTAGCAGACAGTTATTAATCGATGGCTTTCCGACTGATTTGAATTGTGATTGCATTGCAAAACAGATTCCCGTCTATTGTTTCTATCGTTTATTATAATATTATATATATATTTAACGCTATATTTTTGAGTATGTTTTATGTTTCCAATCAATTATTGTTTATTTGTTATATAAAAACCGGTATTAAAAGCGATCGTAAAAATGGTTTTTTGTCGCATAGTTTTGAGGAATAATATATTTGTAATATTTATGTGAGAAATTCAGTCCACTCTATGTCTACGAACACTACGAATGCGAACACATTATTGTCTGTGAATTCAATTTAATAATCTTTAATATAATTTTATTTTTTTCTAAATATTTACTGTAATTTGAAACAAATTTTTATGACTCTCTATATTATATGTAAACAAAACACAAAATGCTTTGTTTTCGTATTTAATCTCAAAAATATATTCAGTTATTTTTATTATCAATTTTGTGAATCAATTGTTGAAAATGTTTCAAATGAATTGAATATTAGACACGAAATGTTTTCACTAAATATTATTAACATTTCAATAAATATTAGATATTATTCGACATTAAAATCGCTTTAAACTAATACTAGTATTTAATAGTTTGCAATAAAAAGTATATATTTTAATACATATAATGTATAAAAACAAAAA